AGGTTATACCTTGAGTTTTGATTGCTTATGAGTCCTTAAATAACATATTTAAGAGTTTTAGTCCATAAACTTCAGTTCATTGTATTTTTATAGCGTCAGTACAAAGCAAAAATCATCTTAGCGACGCCAAAATCATAAATCTATTTCATATTCACATTCAAACTCAAATGCAGACAATTGTACAAAACATGGAAGTATATCATGAATTGTCAATTATGAAATGTTATCAATCTAAAGAAGCCAACATTTTGAGTCAATTCTTCCCTTCATCGCAGTGCCTCAATCAGAGCGGCGTGTTCTTTTCTCTTTAAACATTTTTTCGCATATATTTGGAATCACTGGCACAACAACAGAACAAGGAACATTGTTCTCTTTGAAAAACAATTTCAGCATATTTTCCCTGTTGGGAACTTATTCCTATATTTTTCAAAGGCAGCACCTAATGGTATCCACCTCTAAAATTATCCTCTTCTTCTTTCAGCTGTTCCATTTTCAGGGGTCACCACAGCGAGTCCTCCTCCATCTCACTCTGTCCTCACTCCAACTACCTCCATGTCCTCTCTAACTGCATCCATTTATCTCCTCTTTGTCTTTTTCCTGCATTTCTAACGTCCTTCTACCAATATACCCACTGTCCCTCCTCTGGACATGTCCAAACCATCTCAGTCTGGCCTCTCTAACTTTATCTCCCAATCTGTGCTGTACCTCTGATGCTGGTAGACTGAGGAAGTCCTCTGGCTGGGGGATGAAACATTTCTCACTTAAAGAAACTGGTCCAGACGACACAATTTAACCTTTCTTGTTGTTATCTACTTGGATGATTGAGTTTACAACCTGATGATCTCATTCCTAATCTTATCCATCCTTGTCACTCCTAAGGAGAACCTCAACATCTTCATTTCTTCCAGTTCCAGTTCTGTCTCCTGTCTTTTTGTCCATGTCTCTGTCTCCAAGCCATACTGTCAGAGAATGTTTGGTCAAAGGTTACGGATGTTTTTTTATTACTATGGTTGAGAACAAGAAGCCCAAGACATAATTGAAACTGTTTCCCAAGACAATATTTTATCTCTGCCCATGAGCCATATGTTTGGGTTAATGGGAGTGTGCTGGGTGAGAAGGCTGCAGCTGCAGCCAAGGACACCTTCTAAACTCAGTGAACTCGACTGAACTGATAAAACTGATAAGGATATAAAAGCGAGCGGAGAATGCAGCTCGAGGCAGATTCCCGTGACTGATCTTCGTGTGTGTACATTTCACAGATATTTATGTTACCTGTCCTGAAAATCTGTTTTTGCACAGAAACTTCCAGTTAAAAATCCTCTCCTGCTGTAAACATGTTTGTGACTGTGTGGCTGATCCAGTGAGTGTGTGTGTGTGTGT